GTAAATCTTCTTTTCTGCTTTCTTGAGCCTTCCGTTGAATCGTCTCCCGGCACTCAGTCCTGCTAGTTCCGATACACTGGTCAAGTGTTTTCTTATGCCCTTCTTGGAGCTTCAAATACCTCATCTGTTCTTTATTTATTTTCAGCTTTAATTCCAGTCTCTTTTTCTTTTGTTTTCGATCATCCTCTACTGCTTTCTGATCTGATCGGCTAGCTGTTAGCTCAGCTGCTCGGCAACTCTACAGAGCCGAGCAGTTATATGTTTATAAAAGTCTATACGTAGGTTAACGCCGCACGTAGGTTAACCTTATTTTATTATTATTAATATTAGCGCTACATCGTATCTTAGCACTCACTTCCCCCACGCAGTTCTGCATGTTGACCTCCGTCGCTTCATGATTGTCAAATCCAGAACAGTGATCGAATAAGATGCTTTCGAATATCCTCTTGTTCCCTGTTGGATATATGTCTCAACTCGATGACGTGTACTGATTTCTTTCACGCTTATGGATGTTCTTGAGTATCTGCTCTCCTTTGTTTTGTATTATGATTCCAGATACGGTTTTTATCTTTCATCTTCCATTTCCTTGTCAAATATCTCATAGCCTTACTGCAAATCAATGCAGCGTCCTTATTTTGAGGATTTCAACTTTTTCATCGATAATATTTTCTTCTCGCTGCTCATTTCGTGCATATGTCTCTTTACTGTTTCTCTCGTCTCGTTTTCGTTCTTTCAAAAGTACTGCAACAAAGAGATGCACAAGCATAATTGTTGTGGTTCATTACTTCTTTTTGTTTCTTAGAAGTCACCTGTGAAGAGTTGTTCAGAAACGCGTTCTTAGCCACTAGATAACTGATATTCTTGATTATTGGAATTTATTCTGCCACTTCCACTACTTTGGACTCTTGGTACCATTGCTTTTATCGTTGCAACTGATCGCACTGAGCGTCATAACGTCTCCATATCAGATTAAGCTAGAGCCTATAGGATTGAAACCAGAAATAATGTCTATTTAAAGATCAGGCAAAATGTTTATTCCATAAGATATTGGATCAAGAACACTCTGTTGTTCACGATTACTTCAAACTTAAGTAATTATTTAATGCCTTAAGCATAATCCTTAACAATATTTATTTATTCATTACTATTATAATTACGTGAGAAAGGTAAGACGGTGTGGCGTTTTTTGTAGCGAAATGGAGGAAAAGAACTAATGGAAAATTTGTCATCCAAATCTTATGAACGCGCTTCAGAGGAGTTACTACGATTTCGTGGGATTGGACGAAAAGTAAATGGAATAAACTGTCAACTTTATTTTTTGAAGCATAATTCATTTTATCAATTACATTGCGACTTTTTGGCTATCACTTGCTTATTTTTTTCGATAGCCTATAAGTTGTAATATATTATTAGAAGCTACGAATAGTGCGACTATTTACTATTGCTACTTTGAATCTTGTGATAGATTTGCCAATTTATTCCACTTTCATATTATTTTTTTAAGGTTGCTGACTGCATATGTTTGATGGGACTACATATGCATTCTGTTGTGCCAGTTGACACACATATATTGCAAATTACCATAGAAAATTATCTTCCAAATCTTACAGTAGAGAAATATTCTCAGAAGTACCGAAAAAAGATCAGTAAGTTTGCTTGCCAAGTCCTTAAAAGTTTGTCATTTACATAAATTACCGTCGCAATTTCTAGATTAAACGAAACTAAACTACGACTTTTAACTTTTCATCATATCCAAAGTAATCATTGGATCTTTAAGCGACTGTATGGCAGAAAAAATTTGGTCCATTTGCTGGTTGGGCACAAGCAGTATTGTTCACAGCGCACCTTCGGCGCATGGGAGTTCGGCCCTTACCAAAGAAAAAATCCAACAAAGGAAAGAAAGAATAAGTGTGATTGTTAAAGTCGAATAAAACTTTTATTGCATAATACACGTAACTATACAGATATGGACATTGAGTAGGTGTGTCCATCGCATGGCAAGATGAACTTGCCAAATATATGACAATTTGAGGTACAATATGTTCATACCTAAGTTACATCTGCTACCTCGTACATCACTTTTTTAGTTCTTAATGTTGGTAATCTGTAAGCCGATGGAGCTTCGTCTAGTATGCCATTTGAATTGAGTATTTTCTATGGGATATTATCGGTATCAAGTATCTGAACTAAGGAAGTTTTGGTGCGGTAAAATGATTCGAATTACATGACTATAGAGAAGTCATCATTCCCGAATCTATATCTCGACACATTCATGTTATTAATCCACTGAACTTAAAAAATATAGTGCAAAAATAGTCATATCAATGCAGCACATAAGATCTCATACCGATACATAATTTAGATTTATTCGTAATGGTCTGTGTCTTAGCAGTTTCAAAAAGTCGCTGTACAAAACAAACAGTCCCGAGGAAAAATGAAACGTATATGAGTCAAAGTTATTCAGCAAGACAAACAACAAACTTATAACGAATAAAAACTGAAAAAAGAAAAGTGCTGAAGTCTCTGCTGTCTTATGTTTATCAGGGACAAAAATGAATTTATCCTGTCATTATCACAATTTTTCACTTACAAGGCACAAGACTATTAATGCGTTTCACTTCGTATGACTTAATTCCAAATTCGCTGGTAATGTTTAAATGTTGCCGGATAAATTGATTATTCAAAAACAATGTAACTTACGAATTAGATCCCTAACAGACTGCTTCGATGAACACATAGTGGAAGACAGAAGAGATTCAAGCCTGGAGTACAATAACAGTAGAAAAGTGATACCATTGAGACCAGTGCTAGTAACTAAATACAAATCAAAACATTAATAACGCTGAACATTATTGCATAGGAATTCTTCAATTGGCACACAATCGAAATAATAATGACTACTAACAACCCTAACTTTAGTTTGACACCCTTAAATTTTCACGCCTAGAATCATAATATCGACCAGTTTCTTCATAATATATACCTCGAATTTACATAAGTTTAAAGATTTAATCCTACCCATTCGCTCAATAAGATTACAAGCATATTTAGAATGAGGAAAAAAAAAACAACACGCAGCATTAGTTTAAAGCTTTTAAAGTATTGATTCCCATAAACAACAACAAAACAATATGTGATTTAGCTCTATCTTCAAATGTAAATTTTTCAGAATCCTACATAACAGACAACTAGTTCCTTATGTATTGACAGCGATAAAAGAAAAATAGACATCCATTTCCTTAGGTATTACTTCTTTTCAGGATATTCAACAAATGTACATTATAGCCCATCGAATTATCATAAATCATAGCGGCATCATCTACATGTCCACCACCACCCTTCTTATCCATATCATCCACAATCACAGTTTTATCATTGTCATTTTTATCCTCACCACTTTCTATTACTCTAAAGTCACCAGTCAAATTTTCTGCTTTTATCATCTTTGCACTATTTGCAGCACCAGACAAATTCATTGATTTCTTTTGGAGTTCGCCTACTACCTTCACCCAATTTATATTCTTAGTCCTTCGGGCTAAGTAATGAACTTTAGATCTACGTTGATCACGCACTGCTTTTTTTAAAATGTTCATCACTCGTTTTTCTACTTTTGTTTCAGCCTGCGCGCTTAAAGTCTGCTTTGAGTTTCTTGTTTGGTACGTTGAAGCAAATAGTCCAGCAAGACTGATACAGTTGTCCTCTACTTGTGAATCATCTACTCCACTGCCAAATACTTCAACAGTTTCTTCGAACGACGGAGTGATACCATTCAAAACCTCATCATTATCTACTTCCACGCCGGTGTTTTCAAAAAACGCTCGGAAACTCGTAGGTAGACATCCAGCAATGACCTCTAGCCCATCTAGCTCGTTTCGCCTAGCTTTAGCTGGTGAAGGTGATATAGGCGACGCACCACCACTTGAATTTTCAGGTTTCCTTTTGTTCTCATCAACCTAGTGACATATATAAACAAAAACAAGCCAAATATTAATCACAGCTGACAACATAAATGCTTACAAAATTTTCTTTTAAAATTATCTTCTTTATGTGCTTTCAGTAGTATTAAAATAATTTTCGAATATCAGCATCAAACATAAAACAAAAATATTATTAAAAAGTAGATCTTTATATTCATTTTTTCATTAGCATAAAACTAGTAGAAATTAGAAAATAAAGTTTAATAGAAAAATAAAAAGTGTGAAATTTTTAAAACTAACTCGTCTCAAACGCGGTGGTTTAGACGTATAACAATGAACAGGTATTTCACCTACACTTTTTCCTAAATTTTCTTCATATCTCGTACTTTTAACGTAATGGAAGAGAACATGGCCAACATCCTCATAAGTGGTTGTGATTTCATATCGCCTATAAACTTGGCAAAACATTATTGAAAAACTATAAGACAAACCTTTTATTAATATCACATCTTTTAAGCAGTGTAATTAAAGAAAAAAGAAAAAAAAATACATGATCCCGTCTTTATCCAAATCATCTGCACTACCGCTAAAGTATCGTGTTATGAACAAATTGTCAGAGAGTAAACCACTGTCATAATTATTGAAGGAATAACCATCTTCTCTCAAGTGCTCAAGCATCTATAACGAGAAACACAATGTAATGAAGTACGAACATGAATAGAATACTTTTACTGGTATGTAGCAAAATCCAAAAAACGTATTTTGAAAATAAATAAATGCTTTTAATTCGGAGCTTACATGTATGCAAGCTCAGAGGTTATTTGACTTACTTACATGTACTGAATCAAGATCAAGCTGAACCCCAGACTTTGTATCATATATAACAATTGTTCCAGGTTGTGGTAAAATCAAAGGAGCTTCACGGCAAACAAATATTGATGTTGTCTTGGCTTTGGCTAAAAATCAAGGATATAACAAGTTAAGAAAACTCACTTCAAAAATCGCATGCAAAATATTGACGCAGTGTCAACATTTTAGTGAGAAGTCAGTAATTTTCTTGACTATCAAGTTTAGAATGAATCTTTTCCTTAATTAAACATGATGAACAATTGTGAATTTACTTCAACTAGTAGTCTTAGTCTAAAATAAACAACCGGAAAAAACTATAATATTATTCAAAAAGTTACTTACAAAGGAAGCTTTGCTTTAGCTTAACTCAAAAAATAAATTTCCTATAAGATCAGATCCAATAACGTACCAAGAAGTCGAGCATAATCCGCAAATGAAAGTAAGCCGTACTGACCGCTGATATGTACTCGATCCTTACATTCCTGCACACTTTGTAGAAGCTTACCTATCAGCCCATGGATAACCTCATATTTCTTATCATCATCCAGTAAAGTGTATGGTGCGTAAAAATCTGTTAAGGACTGGCTTGGAGTCACTGATACTGGATGATCAGTGGTAACCATACTTTCTTGAGTTGTTACACTGTTTGCTAAAAGTTCAAAACTGATCAACAATTACACAGCTCAAAAATCTGTTTAATTAGATTAGTACATGCTCTTTAACTTCGAAGTCTCAATTTTCAAACTAACTCAAAAATCAACAATTATATACAGGAAAATATGTTTTTATAAATTAAAGTTAAAAACTGTTTGCACACCTAAAGGTTGTTATTTATTATTGAAATAAAGTATCATATAATTTATCTTAAGCTGCAAAATATTCTAAATACGTGTAATAATTAACAATGACAGAAATACATATGCATCTTACTTTCATCTTGTCCTACTGAACCATTTTCACATTTCAGTGCCTCATCAGGATGCTTATTCCGCAAATGTTCCCACATGCCTTTGGTAGATGATTGAGCATCCAAACGCAACTCCTTTCGCGAGCAGCTCGTCAAACGACACTTTACAACCCGTTCTGTGTCTGCACGACTATATCCATCCGATTCATACAAATCAAAATAACGCCAAACGATGCTTTTTTTTGGAAAGTAAGGCATAGAAAGACGCAACCACGTACCACTCGTACTCAGAATTGCCGGTGCTATCTCGTCTGAACATGCCATACCGTTTGAGTTCAAAGTATCAGATAATGATGAGGACGATGGAGGATTTTCATCCATGTCTTCAATGAAAAGCAAGATTACTACGCAATCTACTCATCTCTAAATTTTATGCATTAAAATAAACCTTCATAAAAATGCTGATAAATGTAAGGATTTCGAAATACACAAATTGCTAAAATATTTTGTAAAATGTAAAAAATAAAGCACATTAGGTTCTACTGAACTTTTTTATCACTTTCATGTTCAGGCAAAACATACCCGAATAAACGAATACTTACAAACAAAAGCCTAATCGTCTACTACTTTGACATAAATTGTAAACAACTGAAAAAAAGGTAAATAAAAGAAAAGGTATAATTATAAAACATTGAAAAAATAAACCATAATACCTGAAAAAATTATACGTTCCTAAGCATAATTTACGGCCATCGTTAAATAATATATTATGAATGAATGAAATAATCTTAACAAAAAAATAAAAGTTTGAAATGATTGTGAAAAGTTAGAATAAAAACAAATGATAGAAATCAGAACTGAATAATATGAAAAAAGTAGTTTATTGAAATTATTGAATTTTAAATCAATCGCTATTGATCGAGGAGAGTGGATCGATAAGTTTCAAGAGAATGGCGAGATAAACTGAAGAGACCCCAATTGTTGATGCTTCATTCTATGGCACGGCTTGTTACCAATCGATAGTAGCAATAGTGTGCTTCAGCATCTATCTATACTATACTCCTTTCACATTTCAATTTTCTCTTCCCTATGATCTTTTCCACTCAGTCAATATACAAAAATCCCATCTGACCTTTAGTTACTGCAGTATGTATGTCACTGATCCATCTATCCTACACTCATTTCTGAACTATATTTTTACATTTATTTTTGACTCAATCAAATTATTGCAAAATAAACAAATGACTCAAAAATAAATGCAGTGGATTTAGTTGCATGCAGAATTTACAAGTTTCCAAAAAAATTAGTTGAACATTGAAATTGATTGTAAGGTTTCGAAGTAAAAAATTATAAAATGAAAAAAGTGATTCACAAGTGATTATAAGATAGATAGATGGGTAGATAGGTAGATAGGTAGATAGGTAGATAGATAGATAGATAGATAGATAGATAGATAAGTAGATAAATTCGATATATATCGACAAATAAATAGATTGGTTGATTGATTGATGACAAACTGAAATATTCCATAATTATTATGAAATATTTCTGTTTGCAAAGTGTTTCAGCTAATCATCAACCAACCGATCATTAACTAACCGATCAATAAATTGTGAAATTTCACAATGGGTTACGAAATATTTTTCCAAAATTATCCAAATGAGATGACAGATGATGAGGTATCATCAGCATTTTGGTAACTGCATAATGGTGCAAATTTGTTATCAGTTCAAACAATGATTACATTTATATTAACTACTGTCTGAACATTATTAGTTAAAACTCCAATTACATTTAATAAAATAAAAACTCGCTAACTTTCCCATTAAGTTTAGTTAAAATAACACTAAATCAATAATCGTATTTTTGGCAAAAAATGGATGGACAGGTCAGGTTGCATTTATTTATACATTGTGCTAATATTTCGCCAGTAAGAATTAGTTCGTTAAATGTGAAGGAATAGACGTAAGTCATTCACACGCTATTTTATTTTTTTAAACTTATTTCAGACAAAATCACAAGCGACTTACACTATAAAAGTCATGTAAAGTATTGATCTCGTGGTTTTGAGCTGTGCGTGATTAGTTTTTAATACTTGCAATTTTATGGCAGACTGAGTGGAAAAAGTATTTTTCTAGAAGGCTAAAATTTTTTGTACCAAAACGTAAGTTTTGGTACAAAAAATTTGCTTCCACAGTTAGTTTCATTTATGGACTGCCCTGAAAAGTTTCATTTTCAGGCTTATTTAGCGCGAAATAGTCGATTTACTGATATATTAACCTATATTGCATATTATTCGCATTACCCGCGAAGTTTAAAATGCACCATCGCAAAGTTATTTAAAAAAATATTTTTAAGACGCTTTTGCAGATTTTTTTCCAGTTGTTCAATTATAAAAAATTAATGAAAACGCTAAAAATGATAAAACTGCAATGCAAATATTGACACCTTCTAATTATTACTGATATTAGATAATGAAAGTGACTGGAATTACTGCTAATAATACGGCCATAACAGCATAAACAACAATAATGTAATGAAAATGAAAATAAAAAATTAAAAATAATACATCTATAAAAATGAAGTTAAATATTAATACTAGTTTATAATATTAAAAATAACAATATAAGTAACAATAAATTATTAACTGGAGTGTTCCATTTAATAAGGTCATTAAGCCGATTTTTATTTCGTACAAATTATTCATCCACCAAATGCTTACTAGTAGATTGAACACATTTCTGATTAATAACTTTTTGTATTATTATATTTTTATTACAATTGAACGTTTTATTTTACTCTTACTTATAATAGAACAAGCTCAAAATATGAATGCCATAATTCATACTTGCTTGACGCACTTGTAGACTATAGGTATGTGATGTAATCAAATTATTGACAGTTTTATTTTTTGAAGAATATATTTATCAGTATTAAACTATATACTCTAAATTCTATACTTAATATACATTTTTAGCAGTATTGAACATAAAATTCAGTTTGAAAAAGGTGCTGTATTACTTACAACTAAATGTGCAAAAGACAAGTAGTATTAATTACAATTAGGAAAATACTTGCTAAAACTTAATTAATACTTATACTTAATACTTACTTAGAGTACTTAATATACTCTTTGAGCAACGGATTTTTCAATGAGTAATATTTTAAAAAGTTTCATGTTATAATGAAAAATAAACAAAATTTTTCCTATTTGCTTATCAAAAATTGAAATGTATTTAAGATTTTTGATCTTTTTATCTACGTCATTCTAATGATATAACTTGTAAGTGTTATCATTAATAAACCCTCCCAAAATTATTTAAAGTATTAAATTCATATGCCTTCAATATGATTCATATAATGATTAAAAACCTGCTGCATCAGAATGAGTCTCATAGATCTATTCAGTTCTTTGATAATTCAGATCAAAAAAAATTACATAATATTACTTATTATAAAAATTTATATAATATTACATATGTCATAATATGACAAAAATCACATAAAATACATTTCCATAAATTAGAAAATAATTTTATAACGAAATATTATCATTACATTAATTCTTGTCATCTGTATGAAAGTTCAAGTTATTGTGCGGAATTTTATTATGTATAAAAGTTTATCGATGTAATTAGTAGAATATTTTTACAATTTTGACAATAAAAACTTAATAATATTAAGCAAATCTGCAAATTTTATTGTAATTAATAATAATACCACAAAAATTAAAATTTATCATAGTGATAAAAACAAATAAATCAAATAGAAGACTACCTCAGCCTGACAACATTTTCTTTCAGCAAACAAATTAGCGTAAAATCGTTTATCTCTTTACATATGCTTATCTCTTTAACTGACTGACTAACTAACTGATTGACTGACTGACTGATTCACTGCTAGACCGATTAACTGACTAATTGACTGACTGATTGTTCACAATACTAATAATTCTACAAATAATTGCTACTTGCTTAATTATTCATTTTTGTTTTTTTAATGAGTACATAGAAGGAAGGATTCACTCAGTCCCAAATGCTCGTCTAATTGATTATGCTTCAAACCTTTCAAAACAGAAATTTATTTAAATTAATTATTTTATTATCAAAAAAACAAGAATCAGTTCAAATTTAAAAATTTCTTTTTTTTAGGAATATAAGAAGGGTTTGCACAAATACAAAAATTTACTCATGTATTGTAAATACATTTTAGTTTTATTACTTAGCTACATTAATTAGTAAATATCATGTTATTATTTGTGTATGTAAGTAATATTCTATACTTCTAAGTAATTATTATAGCTATTCAAAACCTCACACGTTTTTTCTTCTATTTAGCAAGTATATTAGAGCTTTAAAAAATTTTTATAACTTGAAAATAATTATTGCTATTTGATAAACTTCATATTTGCTCATTTTTATTCCAAAATTTGTATTTTGGCTAGAAATTATTGTAATTAAAAAATAATAAAAAATATATTATCGTATAATTTTATATTATTTTATTGCAAAAAAAAGAAAGAAATTTCAAATTTTGAATTTTTAGTAGTCGTAATATCAAGCAATTATTTGAATGCTTAATAATACAAATAAATCACTAATATGGACTTGTTGTGTTTGTTTTTAGTTAAAATTTGAAAATAAAATTCTAACAAAATACTAATTATCAATAATCTATTTTAGATTTTGGGAATTGAATTTTCAGTACAATGATTTTACTTTTAACTGTGAACAAACTTCAGAAATCTCATTTGTATTGTTTTATAAATTGTGTGGAACACTCAAGTAACAATTAACAAATTTATCAATAGTAAGTGTTAATTAAAATTTAATTAATCAGTAGTAATTGTTGATTAAAATTTTTAAGTTGCTTAATTACCATTTGAAATGATATTGATACTGTAGCCAAGAAGCAGAAGCACATTTATAATTATTGTCTGGAATTTATTTCCATCTTATTTTTATTTACTCATTTATCTGTGCATAATACCAATATTAATAGCGAAATTTCAAACTTCACACTCTTTAGAAACAAATATCATTGCAATTAATATTTATGAATTTTAATTCCGATAATTCAAAATTATATTTATGTACCATTTTTCATTCTTATCTCCACAACAATTATTATCTGTGGTTAAAAAAGTAGTAAACAAAATATATATTTGGAAAATGCAAATATAATTTTCGAATATTTGAAGTTAATTTGATAACAAAATTAATCCAGCTGACGTGAAGAAAAATCTGTTGGCGTGGAGGAAAAATTTAGCATCAAAAATAATTTAAAACTTTTGTACCAAAAATTTTTACTAAATTCAAATTTTCGTACGAAATTGATAGTCTTCAATGCGTTAAAATTGAATTATTGCTAATAAGAGCGTAAATTTATAATCTGCATAATATTTGTTCAAATATATTTGTATTCAGTCAGTAATTTTATCAAAGTTTATTTTCAAATCATTATGAGAAAATTTTTTTTTTAAAATTATATGCAAATTTTTGAAGTAAAAAAGTTGCAAGACAAAAATAATTCATTCAATAAGTGAATAAAAAATAATTTTTATTATAATTTTTTATATCTTGGAAACACATGATGATTGATTATGATGAGCATTACAGTATAATGATTAAATAAATTAACGTTTGCTTTATTGGTCTTAATTTTTTTACTTTAAAAGGGCGTAATCAAACAAAATTCATAAAATACAAATTGTACTTTCGATACTATCTACATGATAACATAGTTCATGATTGAAAGATTATCAGTCTTTCCAAGGTATTTTGTTACCAACCACCTATTTTATTGTTATTTTATATGATATAAAAAGCACAAATACCTTTGAGCATTAAATATTAGTCAATATTTTTTAGTAGTAATCAGTAATAATTTATCAGTTGTGAATTTTTTTTGCTTCTCTTACATATTTTTATTACAGATTATTTACTTTAGAATAGTATGAACAATAATGCAAGCTATATGAATGAAAATGATAACAATTAGTATGCTCGTATAGTCAAAAAATTACTAGTGATAAGACAAATTGCCCCCTTATCAATGGAGAAGTTCAAGACATCTAGTTATTGTCGCAGTTTACATTATCCCAAATACCGTTCTTCTTACAGTCTTGTCCAGTTTTTCCTGACATAAATGATTTACAATATGATATTTTATAAAGTTGCACTATACTTGGGTAAGTTTACTGCATACTTTTCTAAACACAATTTCAAGTAATTTTTACGCTAAATTGATTATTATTTTAATTACAACTATAATATATAGATTTAAAATACAATTTCATGTATTACACTTATTTTGTATTTTACAAAAACATTTCAAAATTATTAATCAGTTGAATAATCATAATTGATTAATAATTTTATAACAATGAGTATCAAAAAAAAAAGATTACTTTTGTAGTGGTTGTGGCATGCAAGGATTTACAAGCTCAAAAAATATATTATGGTGATGACCATAACGGTCCTGCATCCGTAGGACATGAATTCAACTTGATATTTCCTAAAAATACAATAAATGCTGGTCAAACACCAGTTATTAGCATTGTTGTGATGAATACGAACTTAAGTACGGTGGCAACAGTTAGAGTACAGTATTACGAAGTGCACGGTGAAAAAAGAGAACCTAAAGAAATTACTCTTAAAATTAACGGTTTATCGTATGAAACAGTAAGCTTCTTCTTTTACTGATAGAAAAATCTTTTGTAATATTTTTTAAAATTATGATAAAAATTTCAATTTCTACAAGTATACTGTAATAATTATGCAACAACTCTTATCATAAAGCAATTATGTGCTATGAGTGGATAACTAACATTTAAAAGCTGTAGTCTTGTATTTAAAAAGTGTGAAGTAATATTTAAATTAAGTAACAGAAACTTGAATAAGCAATTTTTTATGTTCATTTTTTATATGCAAAAAACAATCAAACAATTATTGGAAATTAAATCTTTTGACAATAATAATTAACCATTTAATAATTATTAGCTCTTTTTTTCAGGTAGAATTCAATAGCTCTTCGTTAAGTACTTGCGGTGAACCAGCAGCTAATTATCTTACGACTTGTATAGATACTACCATAAACGTCTATTCTGAAGAAGCGCTTATTAGCGTTCTTGCAAATTGGTACCTTCCAGATTCTGGAGACAGTTTTGCCGGTAAGTGTATCTTTACTTTGTGATATAATTAGAATTGTCTGAATATTAAACTATGGAGCTTATTTTTAATGTTTACTGATAATTTTATTGTACATTTACTGTTACTGAAAAATGTAAGTAGATATTAAATGATTTAAATAATATGTCATATGTATTATTATGGTTAAAGATTTTATAAAGTTTAATTTATTCAAATAAATATTTCATAGAGTAATAATTAAATTATTTAGTAACGCCTATTACAATGGGTGGATATGATTTCCGATTATCAATACCTCAACCTAGCGATGCTGGTAACAGTACTGTATATTTTTTACCCACATCACAAAACTATACGAATTTAGTTATTTTTGGCGAGATTGATGAGGATCCTTTTTACCTGACCTTTAATATTAAAGTAAGTCTTACTTTTTTTTAATTCGCTAATTATGCAAAAATTCATAAATTTTGTAAAGTAAGCAAGTAAAGACTTTAAATCAAAATATTTAATTTTAATTGATGATAATTAATTAAAAGAAAGCATTTTAAAAAAGGTCAAATATTTACAATCAAAATGTGGAACACACATATATTTGCAACATAAAAGTAAATTTTGTAAATAACTTACTGACTTAGCTAGTAAAACATTAGTTATATATTGCAAAAAAATCATAAATAAAGCAAAGACGTTTCCATTGGATACAAATACAAAACATAAATAACATAATTATTTAAAAATCATATTTTTATTCAAAATAATATTTTAAAATAATTGATAAATAGTAAAGCAAAGTGAAAATTTGAATGAAATCAAATTTCTTGAACAAAAAATGAAGCTGAAAAAATTGTATCAAACAAAACTTTTCTACACTATCATAAAAATTTTATCATATCATAAACTTATGAAAAGAAAGTCAAATTTAACAGAATTTAAAATATGAAACTGATAAATAATCTTTTTGCAAAAGTATGTTATAGTATTTGTGCTTGTTTAACTACAAAAGTTATAAAAACTGTTCAGCGATAATTCAGTCCTAATATGTTATATTTTTTTAAATCATAGGATTTAAATTTTCATCATAGTGGAATATTTAAATTTTAAATTATGAGACTTAAATAATGTACTTACTGAAATTACAATTTTACTACATTTAGAATTCATAATTACATGTTCTAAGTAATATGACAGGGAAATTAATGTATTAAGTAATGATTGTATAAGTTCAGTGAAAATATTACTTGATTTTAATAATTTTTTTTAGCCAAATGATTCAAGTCTGATAACAATACGAACGCAGTACTCGTTAACGTTATGGGCAGTTTCAAACTGTTCATTTACCATTGCGGCATTTGCAGAAGGCTTAGCGATTTCAGAAAAAATGAGTAAAAAAGATTTTGGTGCTTTCATGCCTACACCTACAATTGAGACAGGTACCACAAACTCTCTTCCTTTACATTACATAACAACGAATTTTTTCATTACTCCCATTTTCAGTATAATTTTATCAAGTATAACCTAAACTTCAGGCTGTGGAGAAACTCTGAATGATTATCATGTATTTATGCAACTTGCTGCTGAAAGAATCTTAGTAACACAGAGTCCATATTGTATAGTACCATTTAGTACTTATGGTGATTCAGGAAAATCCGCTGAGTATTTCGACCCTTATACTAGCGAAGATATACATTTGAGCGGATATGGCTTAAATGCAGGCGTTAATTCTAGGTACTCAGGCTAGCTTAAATAATTTCGTTTTAATATTATTTGTTTAATTGTTATAAATTATTAATAGAATAATTGTGGTTCTTGCTGATTTAAAATAAGTAATAATATAGTTTGGGAATGCTACAAGTACTACAATATGGAGGTTATAATCTGAATGAAACTTTCGATGGTGCATATTTGGATATGGCGGTTTCTTGGTCACAGTTTGTTACTGGTCTTACTACCTTTTATGTACCTACTGATGAAAACATCGTTTCGGTAAGCTCACAAGCACCAAATTTATATTCTGAATAGAAATTATCTTAAGTTTGATTTAAATATTTATCATTTTCAGAGTATTCAATAGCTTTCAATATTTATTAAAATGAAATATCTTAGTTGTATCAAAAATTTTTTATTTATCGTTTTAGATAATTGCTGATGAAGATGGAATAGCAGAAATGTATTTTGACATGACAACACAAATCTGGAATTGGGCTCCGATACCGTATTATGATGAGTCATTTTACTTCGCTACGGCATCTGTTTCAAGTGGACTTCATACTATCGAATCATACGGTTTCTATACCGTATTTGTTGTAGGCCGTAATAATCGCGCTCTGTACGGTTTTGTTACTGCATATAATGGCAAGTTCATACATAAATTAATTTAAATATTACTTTTCAAAAGACAAAAGTAAGCAATTCAAATTTTATTCCATTAGTAGTACAAGTTGGTATCAAAACATTGAGATATTGAAAATAAGATTGATTTGTATAAAAGAGATATTTTCAAGTATTGGTTATCAATTTTTAATTAATAAATGTAAAAAAATTTCAGAACAAGTAGCGAAGGATCTGCCTGAGAAAAAAACAACTTTACCACCAACAACAAGTATGCAATTTATCAATGTCGTTGGGTAACAAATATAAAAAGAATTAACTAAGAAAAATGTAGTCAAATATGGCAGATTATTTGTGGGATTTCGATGCTATCAAAAGTTTTATAATATCAATAATTAAGTAAAGAAATAATTAGTAAGTAAAAATTAATTGAAGTATTAAGAATTGAAAGACAAAAAATTAAGTAATAATGATAGAAAAACAAAATCAAATATAATCTGTTACAGCAACATCCACTACTACAACTACTACAGAATATACTACGAGTAAGTGTAATGTATTTGTATTTCAACTGTTATATTGTGATTATATATATATATCTTATTCACATAAAATAAGATACAGCTTTTACTAGCTGATATATGAATTAACTGAGAGAAGTAGTCAAATAGGATAGATCACTGAGGTATTGAAATAAGAGGTAAAATAATAACTAATTTTACAAACTTATCAGAACTGATATGATCACTTAATGATACGGATTAGTGAAATTATTTTTACTGCTTCTAGCTACAACACCTTCAACTACTACTAGTACTTCTTCAACTACTCCAAGTACAACTACTTCTTCAACTACTCCAAGTACAACTACTTCTACTACTACTACTTCTACTACTACTACTTCTACTACTTCTACCACTACTACTACTTCCAGTAAGTGAAAATAAATGAATAAATAATCATTAAATTAATAAAACAATTAACATTATTGAAATTTATAAAATTGCTATAATTGGAAAAATTATCCATACATTTTACAGCTACGACTTCAACTTCAACAACAACCACTACTACCACTACAAGTAAGTAAATACAAACATACAAAATAAACTTACTACTAGTAATTGAAGATAAATAAATGACAGTGAGTGAAAGCTTTTATACAAAATTATTAAATTAATTTGCAAAAATTTTTAATCACTTTTTTTGATAGAAGAATTATTTAATTTTTTGTAGCAACTCCATCAACGACAACAACAACGACTAGCACTACGAGTAAGTGAATGAGCAATAATTAATAATAGAATTTAATTGAAATTATTGACTATTATTTAATTAATTACTTGGTTGTTTTGAGGAAAAAAAAGACTGCTTTATGCTTTTAATCAGTAAAATTATGTAATTTTTGTAAAGCATTTGTAACGAAGATTCAAACTTTAAATAAGTGATAATGAATATATAAAAAATGAAAGAAAATGAAAAACAAATCATTCTTGATTTTAATAATACTACGACTATTTATTCATATCATTTAATAATATTTTTACTATCTTTAATGCATCTAACTACGGCTTTAGTAAAAATTATCACCAAAAGTAATTAAAACTTAGCCAATAATTCAGTTATCTGAATTAGTTGAGATTCTATAGATTCGTCATTTGCAGAATTTATGACAAGTAAGTGAATTTCAATAATTTCAGCTTGAAAGTAATTTTATTATTTTTCAGCGACAAGTGTAACTCCAACATCGACCAGCACATCTACAAGTAAGCAAAAATAAATTAATAAAAATGAGTTGAACAAAATGATTAAAGAAACAAAAATCAATTTT